AACGTGAAGGAAAAATGACGTTTGGAAAATTGAAGTAGTTCAACGAAATCATAAAATTTCGTTAGGCAACAAACTGGAAACAAATGTAACCTAAAATCATGTGAAAGTAAATGGATCCGTAAAAATGAATATAAGGACCGATTACTCGGAACGTGACCTACAGAAAATAACCGTTCTTTTAAAAACATTTTTAGAGGAAGTAAGCAATGCGAGAACTCATCTATTTGTGGCCCCGAGACAATACGTCTTATGTTGCAAACGCGTTTGTATCAAAGCGAGACTTCACGAAACGGCGGGCGGTTGTAGTGTACAAACCTGCAAAGTCAAAAGAGGAAATGCGGAATCGTGAGTAAGCGTACGGAAATTTGAATGCTAAGAAGCGCTGAATAAAGAAGTGACCTCGTGTGGCAAAACAACGAGATGCAAGAGAAAAGAGAACCTGTAGAACGTGAGGTATTTGGTGTCACTAAAGGACACCGGAGATAACTGGAATAAAAGGTGGCTCAAAGATGGTCCCACATAGTACAGACTGATTGCCGAATAGCCTATGAACTAAGGCTCGCCGTCACTGCGAATTTTAATTCCAAAATCTTTTTCAATTACGTTCAGTCTTGGGCCTTCACAAGGGCAGCGACCACGGCGGGGAAAACGCGGAGGAACTCCGCTGTTTGTCGGAGCAGGAACACAGACAAGATAGTGTAACGACCTTGGCAACTTGCCATTTCGTTTGAGTGTGAGTTGTGTTCATGTCTCGCTGGACCATTGGTTTGTGCTTTCTGCATTTTCCTCTTTCTTCCAGATTTTCAGTTCGCCCTCTGCACAGATAGCATCCTGTCTGTCGACGGTTCCAACTCACACCTAGACTCGGCCCACTTGCGTTTGTCTGGTGTATTCGCTCATGTGGGACATCCTGGTGCATACACGAACCAAGCATCTCACTATAGGGGACGACCAGGTCAAATCCCAACACCGTCATTGAACTATATCCCGATGATGCCTGAAATATACTTCTTCACATTGGAAGTCAGAGAACAGTTGGCCCACCTCTAGATAACCATGGTAGTGGGACCCGAATAAATACACCCTGCAGTAATCCGTCCACTTGCTGAGGTTCTGACAGCTCCCGTGGCGACACATTTTAGCCAACCCTTAGCTGACGCTAGACTCCCTGAGCAATGGGCACCAGCTGCAGTCACACCTATTCATAAGGGGGCGATAAGACTGTAGTGACCAACTATAGACCGGTCAGCCTTTCATAGGTAGTTCCTTAAGTGATGGAATAGTAAATAATAAACGGGATCCCGAGTTACATTGCTGTAAACCGACCGCTGTCAGCTGGACAGCACGGCTTTTTGCCCAAACAATCCTGTCTTACAAACCTGATCACTTTTATTGATGAAGTGACACGGAGGTTAGATGACGGGCAAGGAGTTGAGGTATGCTACCTCGACTTCCAGAATAGATAGAGAAGAATTCGAGATTCTCTACAGCAAGTACATCAGACCATTATTAGAATACGGGAGTAAAATTGTTCACTCCCGCTTGGTGAACGACTGTACGGCCCAAGAGAGTGTACAACGGTGAACGACAAGACCCCTGCATAAACTATCATCCATCCCTTATCCTACACGTCGAATAAGAAATGACATCATCTTACTGTACCATCTCCTCAAGTCCGACAGGGTCGACGATTTCTTCTTGAGCGCTAACATGGAGAATCTTCAAGGATATATGTAGTGGTTGTAATAATGATAGTAAAGGTAGTCAATAAACCCGGAACACGAATCACTGAATAGCAGTCACGGACGTCACTTAGGCACTGGACGACACTGGCACTTGCCGATGTACGAGTAAAAGGCCCCAGGAGTAGTGGTTGGTTTATTGAAAGAAGTAAGGGAGATTAGATAATATTTACAAAACCGGCTAATTGGTCATCCAGCCTCTGCCAATCGCGTTCTAGTATTTCTACCGTTGTTATGCGTTTGTCTGGGCCAGACGGGCTCTCATTGGCTGGTACGATTGACCTATGTTATGCAAGCCAGTAGTTGTGACACGCACGCGATTTTCTGACGTCACCCGTGAAGCCTGATTGATTACTGTAACGGTGGCGCGTCGTTCCAGGGTGTGTCAACTTGCAGGCTGGATTCACCACAGTATATGATGGAACTCTTCAAACTGCGCACTCGCACTGGTCCGACAGTAATTCCTCACCTACTGGGTCATTCATCTTCGGAATAAGCTCCCCAAGAAGTGGTTGATGCCCCACAAAATCCGCTTTCAAACTTAGACTATACGTCTATCTTGGTTTAATCTGAATGGTTTTCATCTCTCCGTCCCATGGGTTCAATCATGCTTTGTAACCTTTTCTTGAACTTTCTGATATGTCGCACTGCATGCATGTACAGCACCGAATACGTGCCAAGGTGACACTGAACAATGCAAGCAATAAATACACTAGCAAAGCGAAAGCTTGTCATACGTGTTGCGTGGGTTTGAACAGGACCAAGCATATATATACACCTGATCGGAAAACCGTGCTCAGTAGAACAAGTAGAAGTAAAAGAAAGAAGTATCACAGTTGGAGTCATAGTTGATTGTGAAGAAAATATGAACGGAAACCGTCCTCGTGGATTGCTCCTTTTCTTCGTACAATCATAGTCACTTACCCCCTCCCTTACTCCTATCTTATTTCAGGTAACCGCGGTCATTACAAAAGCATAGCGGTAGCCTAGCTAAGTGGCTACGTGCTACCTAAACCTTCAGGTTTCCGATAAGTATGCCATGGTTACGTTACCATGTCCTTATAGTCCTCAATTACACAGGACTGTTCGGAGACCGAGCCTGTCCTTCTGCTAGTCACTCCAGCATATGCTGGAGGTGCTTCTGATCCGTGGTTTGATGATCACATCTAGCTTGCATTGATCTACCACGGAGCTTAGAGAAAAGCAAGAGGCAAGAAAAGAAAACTGCCGTTGCGAAACTATCGGTCGAAGGACCGCTTCAGCCCTCTTGGCCACACAAGGCAAGGATTCACTCTAATTATCCAACGACTACCGCAGTTGAGCCTCGACGGAACTCAGCAAATCGGAAAGCAAGTCCAGGAAAACTTTGAAAAACCATCAAGATCCTGGACCATTGGGCACAGTCTCACATCCGTGTAATACCTCAAGACGTCAAGACTTGTTGTTTCCCGTCCGCTTAGCGGAGATAACTTCATTACTGAGTGGATAGACTCAAACTTTTGAACCACGCGGTTGACGGAGCTGAGCCAAAATTATAACAACCATAGAGCATAGATCATCACGACCTGGGAAGTGGGACGGGATTTTCAAGGTCGCCTTTGTTTGAACGCGCTAATTGTGCTATTTGTGCTCTGGTGTGCTCGTGATGGCTGCCCGCAACGATGGCATTCAACTTCTTTTACAGGCTGAAAAGAGCGCTAGTGAAAAAGTAAATGAAGCAAAGAGACGTGAGTTCGATTCCTATAACTGGAATTGCATTTTTCTTTGTAATAAACAAAACTCGATGTTCAATGTGAATGCTGGGGTATCCGCGGGTTAGATCTTGAGCACCGTAGTTTTAAAAGAGCGCATGAGAGCTACGACTTATAGATTGACGTTTTCACCTGTGGAGTTTCACAGTAGTTCGAACCGACCGGTCGCCGTAATCAGTTCCAGGAGAGCTTAGGCTTCCCTGCGATTTTACGTTAATTTGAAATCAAAGTATCGTCAAATACTTTAGGAGAAATGCCGTTCCACGGAACTGTCTCTCTGAATATTGGCTAGTTGTCTGCGCATTGTGGTGGCAAAGCAATGAGCAAAAGTTACTCGAGCTATCTACCTACTGTTTTAATAAGAGAAAGTTTTACTGTCCCACCCAGGATAGACCCACGGATACACTGGTACCTGAACCCGCAAGTGGTGCTGCAACTCACAACAGAGCTGTTCAGAAAAACTATTGAACTAATACTCGTCTGCTTTAGAAGCATACAGCAATTCGTTTCAGGCTTTCGGTTGACTTTACTGTTATTAATGCGTATGGCCATGCATATTGCAGCTGTACTTTGATTCAAATATACCGTCGTGTACAAGACCGTTTGTTCTGCGTTAGACGAGTCCGGTGAAAAAATCCATAATTATTGAGTTTCGACGGTATGCGTCCTTTGCTCAACGTCACAGTCGATTGACATCTATGTTTCATTGTCTGGGTTGTCCGTCGTACATGTAACGGGATGATCTTCGGTGTACAGTGCGTAGTAAAGTTGATAGAACTATGGTCGGTCAAAATGTGTGCTCGTGGAGAGAGATGTTATGTCAGGTGCTACAGATGGCACGCTTTCAATGTTTGCTTGCGTTTATCGTCAGCTCTCGTTTCGAGAATAATTCTGTTTCATGTGCCCACTGACTCGAGCTTCCGTAGTTTATAGATAATCCTAAGTAGTTCACTTATACGTCGTAATGGTCAGGTTAGTAAGGTCACTTCCATTGACGCGCTCCAAACCAACCGACGGTGTTCAAGCACCTAATTTTGTTGTCATCCTGATCCATACCTTTACTTTGCAACCATATCGTTAGGAGTTGCACGAAGTCGATTGTTTCCGTCTGATAAGCTGCGTGGCGAATAACTAGCGTAATTGAAACAACCGCAGGCGGATCAGTTCAGTTTGAACAACCATTGACTATGCACTTTCGTGCACCGGTTTTAGTTAGTCTTGTGGATGCCCGTTTGGATGAACAGTAGGAGAGAGACAAGAGAGTTGAAAGTAGAGTCGAATGTAAAATGGACTACTTAATTGGACTGCTGCTGAAATACCATGCCTAACCTATCCGGGGCCTTATGTGGTTCGCCACTTTAAGTCCCGGGGCTTAGGTTGCCGGTTTCCACCACTGAACAGCAGGTCCTCGTGACTATGGGGTTCGCCCCGTCTTCTGTTCATCACACTTGGGTGTATAATAAAAAAGGGCAGCTATCCGAATATCGGGCGTCGTACGCTGGACTGCAGCAGGTTTGTCGTCGATGTGGTGTTTGCAATCGCCAAGCGACTTATGTTGGGCTATTGCGATCGGTTTTACTTTACGGTTATGAGACCTTAAGTGGATACGTAGAAGACATCGAGTAATAGAAATTTGCCAAAAACCGAAGTTCGCTTTGTTAGGTCCATATAGGATAAAGCGGGTGTCATGCTTTTTCGGTGGAAAATTCCTTGTCACTGTATTCAGCTGAATGGGCTTCTCAGATTAGGACATTAGCTCATGACTAGCTGTCGTCTACCTACCGGGACGTATTTGTATTTACCCGTTTGAAGGAAATCACTTGGAGGCCAACACACGATGTGGAAACGAAGAAATACTCAGGGCAATGTGGTAGGTGGTGATTGCATACACCGTGCTTTTTATTATATATTTGAGCGATGAACAACGGACGGGGCGAATTTTATAGCCTATGACGACGTGCTGTTCCGTCGTGGAAACGGGCAATATACGCCCGGGGACTTGGAGTGACGAATCACGAAGTCCCACTAGATTGGACATGGCACTGAACCGGACGACAACAAGGCTGCCTCCCACCAAAGTTGGGTGACAGTGGTGGGGTTTGAATCCCGAGCCATAGAATCTGAAGCACTGGTGACAGAAGCTAAACCACCAACAGGCGTGCTTTTACCCGATCCGGTACCATGTTTGAAAGTAGTCATACAGTTTAATGTCAAATGTGGTGCATGGAATCAACTGGATTGTGATTTTTCGGTTTTACATGGTGGAACATGGGGTTTTGAAGCGAAAAGTTTGTTCATTCTGTGCTCATTAGGTATTTGGTACAGATGCACTGCCCCATTAACGTTCGTATTGCTACTGGATTTTATATTTGGATGCTGCTTCAATTGAAGTTGCCGACCTGCACTATGTTGACTGTCAGCACCAAACACGTTTTCACCCGATGTCCTCACTAGACACGAGCAGTGCTTCAAAGGCCATTGGTCTGGTACACAAAAGTCATTTAGCATCCCCGCATTAGAGGCAGCTGTATAGGTGTATATCAGGTGGCTCCACAGACACTGTTTTGAGTAGCTTACACTATTCGTGATGAGATCCCTTCCCCAGTACCAGCTACGATCAAGCTTTCGAGATACTCAAAGCCCTCGAATGTTTCTAGGTCACCAGAGAATGAGTGTAGACAGGCACTGGTCTTACGTTTCATCAATAGAAGGGTCCGTGTATAGCGCAGCGTTGCTGCGTTGTTCTACGGCTGAAACTTGAATTCTCTTACCACATTATCAGTGGCTGTTTTTGATAACCGTTGTCTGCACAGCAGCATCCGCGTATGTGGAGGAGATTGCATGAGTAACGATGAAGTCAAGTGATGTGTTGGCCTAATATCATTTCATCGCACCGTTCAGGATGGCTGGGTACGTCGTTTGAATGCCTGTATAACGTCTGCTTTTCTGTGCCTTATGTCCAAATACTGATCAAGATTAATATGAAGTGAGGTAGACAAGCCATGGTGTGGTTTTGAGGAAACTTGGTGTATGGCTCCGGTTGAGGCATCCCGACTTCCAGGATGGGACATGAAAGATTGTTATGGCTGGAGACACTACGGGTCCGCCGTTGAATCAGTCAGTTGTGTGAAGGCGTTTTTACATTCCCAATGATACAGGGCCAAATATACTAAAATAAGTTCGGTTCATTTTTTACAACCATTAACCATGTACTTTCGTGCACCGGTTTTTTGGTTGCGTTCTTTTGACCATCCATTTGGATAAAAGAGAAGGATGAAGATTGGAATGTTAAAAGCCAATTGAAGCAGAAGATTGTGAATTCAGATAGACTGCTGAATAAAGTAGATGCATGAGCGACACCCAGATATCGCTGTCTCTAACCATCGGTGATCTTGATCTCGGAGGCCCCATTCGGGGAGCCTAACGGAACCTGTGACCCAATCTCCTTGTTAGGGTTTTCATACCCTCATGTCCTCTCTTGACCTTTTTCCAACCACGCCCTACCTCGGCGAAAATCGCTCGCCGTGGCAACCTATCTGATGACACGTAACACGTCCCAACCAGCGTAATCTATGGAGGTTGACTACCTGCTCCAGTGGATGCCCGTGATTACCTAAAACTACGCCCAACCTCAGCATTGCTCGACCGGTTTCCCCATCAGGCTCGTGCAGTGCGACGTAGACAGCGGTGTTCAGACACCGACAATCTGTTTTTATCTTGTTCCCGTAATTGGCAAGTCTGCACTGTATAGCAGGACTGGCCGAACTGCTGCAGCAAACACTCGACCCTTCACTGCCAATCGGATGTCGCGACGGTGCCACAAATGTGTCAAGTTGGCAAATGCCAACCGAGCCTTTTGTATGCGCGCCGATACTTCATCTGTGATGCGTCCGCCAGGTGAGCTATAGTAGCTATAGCAAAACTTGTCCACTTCCTTTATCTCCCCAGTGAGGGTTGGACTGGGTGCTAGACCAACCAAATATACCAAAATAATAATAATAATACTGATGAACTACTATTTTCCATTGCAAGTGTCTAACGTTTTCGCTCTGTTCTGTATCCCAATCCATCCATCCCATTATTGTTATCATTGTTGTGACACTGGCACCATGCTTGTCCGCAAGTTGGTGGTCAATATATATATATATA